CATAGAGCAAAATAGACACTGTTTATAATTTTGAAGTCAGCAATTTGACGAAGTGTTCTAAAAACATATATGAGCTTAAGTGCACAAGCCGTAAGTTGCTCAATATTAGGCCTTAAAGATAAGTTCTCGTCAATTATTATGCCCAGGTATTTAATTTTGGAAACAGTTTCTAATCTGGTACAGCTAGATGTATTTATTAGATCGCAGGTATGGGCTATGAGTGAAAAGTTTTTATAGAGGTAAAGGGAGAGAGACATTACGTATGGCAAATGTAACAAATTTGGTTTTGTCGATATTAATCGTTAGTAGATTCCCATTTAACCACTTAAGAACTCTATTTAATTCAAATTGTGCATACGCAAACGTATCTTTCTAATTACCGCCGCTGAAAACTAATGCTGTATCATCCGGAAAGGACAGAATACTCCTACTAAATACAATCATTGAACACAAATCATTGATGTAAATCAAAAATAAGGTCGGACCCAATATACTGCCTTGGGGTTTTCCGTGTTTCTTCCTCACAGGTGTGTTCTCCAATTTGAACACACTGTGTTCTACCTGTAAGGTAACTTTTAAACAGATCTAGCTACAAATTCCTGACCCCTAGTGCTTCAAGCTTATTTATTAGAAGCGGGACAGAGACAGTGTCGAACGCCTTTGCTAAGTCAAGGAATATTGCGAGACACTTTTACCGTCATCCATCCCCCGAATTATACGATCTGTGAGCTCGAGAACCGCATCATCTGTGGACCTACCTGCACGAAAACCATATTGTTGCTCCGAAAGAAACTTGTTTGTTCCAAGGTAGTCTTTTGTTGATAAAGTTTTCTAGAATTTTTAATAGGGATGTTAAAATTGATATGGGTCGGTAATTGGAGACAATGCCTCTGTCACCACTTTTGTAAATTGGGCGAACAATACTTTGCTTAAAAGCACGAGGAAAGATGCCAGTAGAAAGACTGATGTTGCACAGGTATGTTATCGGGGGAACAAGTATATATACTCCATCTAAAGATCGTACTCTACTAAGAGTCACATAGGCTTGCACTTTGACGAATGTTTTGATCCAAGTTTTGGATTCAGAAGAGAGTGCTTTGCAACTTATGCACTGTAACGGCCTAACCTAATTAACTATCGAACTACACACATGCTACCCCTGACTAATCCTTCGCTGACCTTGATGTTCATTCTTAACATCACTCGCGTTCCCACACCCAACTTTATGTGCTATACTATATTAAGCAGCGATCTGTCAGCTCGCAACAATTTGAGCCTGCGGCTGACAGTCAATTACGCTCTGCTGTCACTAATTCGGACTCGCTTGCTCCGCCCACTGAGCTTCTTCTTATTTTTTATATTCCGTGAGTTCCCGCCACAACTCCCAAACCTAAGAGTATATAATCACTACGCTTTACTCTATGCCTGTCGTTCATCATCATCATTACAGCCCTTCACAAGTCCACTGCTGAACATAGGCCTCCCCCAAAGAATGCCACAAAGCACGGTCCTGAGCCACCTGCATCCATCGACTTCCTGCATGTCTTACCAGGTCGTCACTCCATCTCGTGGGGGGACGCCCTACACTTCGCCTACCGGTACGAGGCTGCCACTCGAGAACCTTTCTTCCCCATCGGTTGTCGGTTCTTCGAGCTATATGGCCGGCCCACTGCCACTTCAGCTTTCTAATCCGTTGGGCTATGTCGGTTACTCTGGTTCTACTGCGGATATCCTCATTCCTAAGTTTATCACGCAGAGAAACTCCGAGCATAGCCCTCTCCATAGCCCGCTGAGCGACCTTGAGCTTCCTCATACGGCCAGCAGTGAAGGACCACGTCTCAGTTCCATAAGTCATCACTGGCAACACGCACTGGTTGTACAATTTCGTTTTCAGGTTTTGAGGTATGTCTGACGAGAAGATGTGTCGTAGCTTCCCGAACGCTGCCCAGCCGAGTTGAATCCGTCGATTGACCTCTCGGTCGAAGTTGGACTTACCTAGTCGGACTATTTGTCCCAGGTAAACATACTCGTCAACAACTTCGAGCTTAGTGTTCCCAACAACTACCGGCATAGGTGTGACATGGACATTAAACATGATCTTTGTTTTGTCCATGTTCATCTTAAGACCTATCCGTTGGGAAACACTATCGAGGTCATTGAGCATAGTGCTTAGGTCCTCCAGCGATTCTGCCATAAGGACTATATCGTCGGCAAATCGAAGGTGAGTGATGTACTCGCCATTGATGTTGATACCGTATCCTTTCCAGTCCAGAAGCTTGAAAACGTCTTCCAATGCAGCGGTGAAGAGTTTCGGGGATATGACGTCACCCTGTCTTACACCTCTCTGCAATTGGATAGGTTTCGTACTCTGGTTCTGTACTCGGATAGCCATCGTAGCCCTACTGTACAAGCACTTCAACACTTCGATATACCGACAGTCAACTTGGCACCGCTGAAGGGACTGCAGCACCGCCCAAATTTCGACGGAATCAAAGGCTTTCTCATAGTCCACATACGCCAGACATAGTGGCAAATTGTACTCTTCGGACTTCTGTACAATTTGCCGAAGGGTATGTATGTGGTCTATGGTGCTAAAGCCCTTTCGGAAACCGGCTTGTTCGGGAGGCTGGAAGTCGTCAAGTTTGCGCGCGAGACGATTCGTAATGACTCTCGAAAACAGCACGTAGACGCGGCTCAGAAGGGAAATCGGTCTGTAGTTCTTCAAGAGAGCGTTGTCACCTTTCTTGAAGAACAAGACCACCGCACTTCTGCTCCACGCCTCCGGTGTAATGCCACCATGGAGGACGGAATTAAAGAGCTTCTGAAGGACTTCAAGTACCGGTCTTCCACCCGCTTTCAGAAGCTCCGCTGTAATTCCATCCTCGCCTGGGGCCTTACCGTTTTTAAGGTGCTGGAGAGCCATTCTAATCTCGCTCAGACTGACGTCCGGGATATCTTCGGAATAGTGTCGGATGAGACTCGCTCTTGGATCGTTACTCACACTTGCGTGTGGCTCCAACGATGACGTGTACAGCTGCCCATAGAACCTCTCAATCTCACTCAAAATCTCAGGTGTCCCGGAAACGATGCTGCCACATTCTGTCTTCAGCTTTGACAGTTGGCTCTTTCTGGCAGACAGATCTCTGGCAAAGACTTTGGAGCCTTGGTTCCGCTCGATCGCTTCTTCAATACGAGCTGTATTGAAGTTGCGTAAGTCCCGCCGCATGCATTTGGAGATCTGTCTGTTCAGATGCCTGTATGCTGTCAAGTCTGTTGAAGAATGTAGCTTCATCTCCCGTCTAACAGCCATGAGATTAAGAGTGTGATCGGAGAGTTTTTGTGTTCTTCTGCGGCGGGTCTTGCAGAACTTAGCTCCGACCGCATGGACAGTTTCCACGAGCTTGTCATTCATATCGTCCACTTCATTGCAGTCTTCTAGGCACTGAAAACGGTTTTGTAACTCGAGCTGAAAGGTCTCGGGACTTTGGAACAGAGCACGAGGGGGACGGAGCGTTGACTTCATTAGACGAGACCTCTCCAACTTAACGTTTAGGTTCAGTGTGCCTCTAACCATTCGGTGATCGCTACCAGTTTTCACCCTCGCGATCACGGAGACATCACTGAACAGTTGTCGTCTGGTCGTCATAATGAAGTCAATCTCATTTTTTGTCGAACCGTCGGGGCTCGACCAGGTCCACTTCCTGTGGGGCCGCTTCTGGAAGAAAGAGTTCATCATAAAGAGTCCCTCTTTCTCCATGAAGTCGGCCAGCTGCTGGCCCCTTGGGTTCCGTTGCCCTATTCCATATTTCCCTACTTTCAGCTCACCGTTCTCTCTTGTGCCTAGTTTTGCATTGAAGTCTCCCATTAACACCGTATATTGGGTTTTGGAGGAATGCATGGCTCTAGAGATATCCTCATACATTTCCTCCACCTCCCCATCGGGGTGTGCCGAGGTTGGTGCGTAAACCTGTATGACCTTCAGCGAATACCGTTTGGTGATTCTGAGTATAAGGTACGCAACCCTCGTCGACACACTCCCGATCTTTACAACGTTGTTAACGAGAGACTTGTGGACGATAAATCCGACACCTCCTTGGGACAGATGGTCGCCCTCCCGGTGATAGAGCAAGTTGCCGGATTCGAGGATTACCGTGTCCTCCCCCTCTCTTCGGACTTCGGATAATCCTATAATATGCCAGCGCAACTTGTCTATCTCTTCTTCCAGCTCCACGATCTTCTCGTCAGTCCTCAGGGTGCGTGCGTTGTACGTTGCCAGGTCGAGTCGTCTAAGGTGGCAACCGAACCTCCACCGGAGATTCTTAGCACCCCCTGCCCCGCCGTTACCATGGTCGCCACCGTAGCCAGGAATAGCGGGGCCGCCGGGGACTGGGGGCCGTCTCTTAGTAACTTTATTCATTTGGGGGGTATTTGCCATAGTTGCCACGCTTGGCGAGCGGGTTGGCAACCGCAGTTTTTTTTTTATTGTCTGGCTATTATCAGGAAGATGCTGCTGCCCATCTCCTGCCTGTTTCCCTTTGTCGCCTTTTACGACACCCTCGGGAGGATATGGGGTAGTGGTATTCTTGACCGCCACTACACAGCAAATGCCTGTCGTTAGAGATTAATAATTATTATAATCTCTTTGAGAGGGAATATATTTTTCTTGCTCTATGCCACAGACTATTATGAAGTGTGCTCTGAAGAGTTTTGGCGGGAACTTGACCGGTGGCGATTTGCTGCTCCAGTATTATCGTTTAAATAATGGTTTGAAGTGGATTCTGATATGTAAAAGTGGTGCGGTTTTGTGTATTATATGTCTGCACGTGTGAATTTTTAGTAGAAACGGTGAAACAAGTGCTCTGACGGTGATACTACGAAGGATAATTATACATTGTAACTTTAGGCTCAGAAGGGCTAGAACCCAAAGCCGTAAAGCCAGTTATAATAAAAGAAGTATGCTCTATGCATTCCAGAGATTTTACGTCAATGCTATGTCTATTATCTAATGTCTATGTATATGTCTACATATTTACAAAAGAACCGTATTTTGTTATTGTTTACCTTTATCGATGCAGTTTCAGTTTCGAAAACAGCTAATAGTATGTGCCATTCCTGCTGTTACTTGTAGCTTTCAAAATAATCAGAGCCTTAAGTAATTAGAAAATGATCAAGTTCTGGAAAAGCGCTGGTAAAACCTAGATTTAAAAAAAACATTATGGATTACAGCTTACCTGAACTACAATTTACTTAATCTCTTTTCCTTTTCAGCAAAAGGCAAAACTGGCTGTCCTGTCCGGCCACCGGAATCGAGTTATATAAACAATTCTCAATTTACAACTCCTGTCAGCTCAAGAACAGGAGGTGAAGTAGAAGGTACATCTTCAAAACTGTGAGTTACATGTTTCTAAATGTAAATAATTTTTACTTAAAATAATATGATCCATTGCAGATCTGACGGACATATTCGATAAAAAATCAAAACTTTCGTTAAATATACATGATATATTAATTGAAAAAAAATCAATTAAGCATTTTATTTCGTATATGGAAGTCATTGGCAAAGTTGAATTGATTCAATGTTGGTTAGAGTTGGAGAACTTTAAGACCAATATACAACACAAAGACACTAAAAAATTACCAATTGAAAATAGTGCAGAAAAAAAGGATAGCCAATGTGAATGTAACTTGCTACAAAAAGATTACAAAGAAATAATGTCTCGAAAAATAAATTTTACTTCTATTAATAATTTAAGTCATATGAATGCATTAAGTAACAACTCTTTTGAAAACCTAAGTGATATTAAAAAAGTATTAGAAACATGTAGGTTCTGCCACAAAATAGTAAAAAGTGATCCAACTGAAGAAGCCATTATGCTATTTAAAAAATATGTAGCTCTTGAAGCACCATATCAATTGGATTTGACGGATGCAGTAAGAAAATGTGTTATATCTAATATTTGTCAACCAGAAGGATCCATTAATGAAGATTGTTTTAAACCTGTGCAAGACGCCTTATTCCTTATAATTCAGAATAGTTATATTGATGGTTTCTTTGATAGCCCACATTACATCAAAGCTCAAATTGATGTATTAACCACTGGTTCTATTAATCTTCAAGATATTTTATATAATGAATCAATATTATTTTACTTTACTGAATATTTAGAACAAGAATCATGTAGTATATTCTTAGAATTCATAATGTCAGTTATGCATTTCAGAGACCACTTAATTAACAATTATTCTCCCAACCCTGAGCAAGCCCAAGGTGATGCTATAGTTCTTTATGAAAAATATTTTTCACTACAAGCAACAAACCCAATTAGTTTTCCTACAGAAATTCGACTACAAGTTGAAAGTGATATATGCAGGGAAGGGGGCCCTCTTGCTACATGTTTTGACACACCTTACAAAGTTATATTTAAAACACTGTCAAATTATGCAAAATTGTTTCTGGAATCTGAACTATTTTATACTTATCTTTCTGAAATGATTCAATCTGTAAATCAATTATGGAACTCTAAGTTTAAGTCTCATTCGGACTGTAGCAGTGAATTTAGTGTTAGTACTCAAAATACTCTTCTTGCTATGGGCAATCCTCTCTATAGAAAAAAACGCAATCACTCTGTACCTGATATGACTATAGATACTAATCAGCTGTATAATGCGGATTCATTATGGCAAAGAAAAAAACATGATGGTTTAATTCTTGGTAGAATTAATAGTCTTGGCAGATTCGAGTCTAAATTTGAACCAGATCCAGACAAAAAAGACAAATCAGTTTTGAAAAAAATGGTTAATCGCTTAGTGCCAACAAATTCATCGAGAGTAGAAGAAGAAATGGCCTGGCAAATTGCTCATATGATTGTTAAAGATATTACCGACTTAACTATGGCACCACCAGGGTCAGATTAAGCCATGTAGAGACCTCTTGGTAATGCAGGGCTAGGAAGTCTTATCTTATTTTACAACTTCCTAAGTCACATAAATTATATTTTTCTTAGGCCACAGGGTTTTAAGCAAACAGGACTTACTTTGCCCATAAGTTAATCTGGCTTTGCACATCAAAAAGTGATTATGAAGTTTAAATGTGATGATAGAATTTAAAATTAGAATGTAATATGTAAATTGTATATAAAATTGTGTATAAAAGCTAAAATAATAAATTGTATACTAATTATTTTATTTTATTTCAATTAGTATTCGATTAGTAGCTTTATTTCTTTCGAAGATTAAAAATATTAGATTTAATGGAAAACTACAAAGAGGACTATAAAAAAGCTCTGAAAAAAGATACGTCTTATTTTTGCGTCTCGTTTTGCCCAGGCTCGCCTTTTATCTACGAGTTACGCCCTTGTTCCGTCATGAAACGGTGAGTAATAATGAAACAAAAGGAGTTACTTTTATACAAAATATATTGAAAATGAATAAAACGAATCATAATGGTATCAAGGACAGCCTAAGAAATTTTTAAAAAATGTCCTATCCTAGTGTATATACTAAGGTCACAATTTAAATCTGATACCATTATGGTACCATACCAACAAAATATACGAGATATATATATATCCAATCTAATATAAATAAACTTACGAAATTAATGTCCCTTGAGGAAAGTTTCTTTTCCATATACGTATGAATACTTTTGCCATTTTAAAGTTTAATTACTCTTAATCTATTATAATTTTAACAAAATTGTACATTTTGATATTAAAATAAAATAAAATAAAAACTCCAAGCCAAGAATAGGCACTAGTGTCATGATTGAGATCAATTATTATTTAGATAAATAGATAAACTTCTACTAAACAAAATTATAAAAGGTTTACATGATTAAAATAGTACCAAAGAAGAATATAAATTATAAAGTTCTTATAGAAAAAAAAAACGAATAAAACACACGATTAAGAGTCGCGACAAAAGGGCGAAGCTCAGATAGGGCCCAATTTGTTATGAAGGTATGTCACCGCACAAAGGTGATCTACGAGCTTAGCCTTATCGTAAAATCTCACACGAAGTGTTTTTGACATACGCCGTCACTTAAAATTCGTTAATTTTGTACTTAGAGCTTATCCCGATTGAGACGACATAGATCTAGAACAAAGGAGCAATTTTGTATATTAAACTCATTTTTGACCGTTTGAATGAGATTCGCCCCTTTGCGGCGGTGGCGACGAGTTCATATGAAGCAATTTTGACGTATCGATGTCTTTCATATCAATTTATATTGATGTTTTAGGATGGGTCAGCGGAATCGAATGAAACTAAAAAATCACAAAGTATTGAAGACGAAAAGTCCATCACAGTTACAAAAAGTGACGCACACATATTCTTCCAGGTGGATCTGCAAATCAAAATAGTGTTAACACAAATAATTGTCGATACGATTCCAGAGGAAACTAACAGTCAGCAACCACTTAAAGTAAGTACAGTGAAACCTGGATAACTGGGACCTTAAGGGACCTGCAAATTTGTCTCACTTAAAGAGGTATTCCACTTACCTAGTGTCCCATATATCCAGGTATAAATAAATATCTGTCTCATTTACAGAGGGCTCCATTATAAGGTAGCGTGGTAATAAAGGGTGAGAATAAGGGTTATTTCAGTTATAACTAGTCAGGTCATAAGTATTGTCACACAGTAAAAACTTTTCTTTTAGAATGCTGGCCACAAAAAAGTTTATTGAATTCGAATTGTTCTTGAAAATAAAACTGTATACTTTTTAGAATTTTACTCATTTTTAAATATGGAGTGGACGCTTAAAGAAGACCGTGTTGCAGTTATTGCGTTGCATCGTTGCGGTTACGCGCCAATTCAATTTTTTTACATACTGAAAAATTTTAATATAACCAAAAGATTCGTTGATCGTACCATCAAACGATACAAAGAAGACTCTAGTGTAGATGACAGGTCAAGAAGTGGTCGCCCTCGGTCTGTTAGGACTCCAGCAGTGATAAAAGCTGTGAAGGCGCGAATTCAAAGAAATCCCAAACGTAAGCAGAAACTGTTGGCCCTTCAGATGGGGTTAAGCAGAACGGTGAAAAGGGTGTTAAATGAAGACTTAGGGCAACAGAACATCGTTTGAATGCTCGTCTAATGGACCCGAGACTGAAGAGATGCCGTGCTTTGTTGAAGCGGTACGCGGGAAAAAAATATCGGGAAATTCTTTTTTCGGATGAAAAAATTTTTACCGTAGAAGAGAGCTACAACAAACAAAATGATAAGGTGTACGCACACAGTAGTGAAGAAGCGAGCAACCGTATTGCGCATGTCCAACGAGGTCATTTTCCATCCTCGCTCATGGTATGGTTGGGAGTTTCTTATTGGGGCTTAACAGAGGTACATTTTTGTGAGAAAGGTGTTAAAACGAATGCAGTTGTGTATCAAAATACAGTCCTGACGAACCTTGTGGAACCTGTTTCTCATACCATGTTCAATAACAGGCACTGGGTATTCCAACAAGATTCGGCGCCAGCTCATAGAGCGAAGAGCACACAAGACTGGCTGGCGGCGCGTGAAATCGACTTCATCCGGCACGAAGACTGGCCCTCCTCCAGTCCAGATTTGAATCCGTTAGATTACAAGATATGGCAACACTTGGAGGAAAAGGCGTGCTCAAAGCCTCATCCCAATTTGGAGTCACTCAAGACATCCTTGATTAAGGCAGCCGCCGATATTGACATGGACCTCGTTCGTGCTGCGATAGACGACTGGCCGCGCATATTGAAGGCCTGTATTCAAAATCACGGAGGTCATTTTGAATAAACTTTAGTGTCATAAGAATCTATGTTTTGTTAAGTTCATTTTGGTATATAAATGGTTACATAATGAATAAACTTGTTTCAATTATTTTATATTAAACATGTGACAGAATTTATGACCTGACTAGGTAGAGGTGCGATTATTAAATAAAATAACGTGTTTTGTAAACATATATACATAAACATATGGACGATAGCAAAACCAAACTAAAACTGGAGGTCACTTTTACACAATTAGCCATGTGCAGAATTTACCGATAGAATAAGAATTAGTAAACAACATATAGTCTCAGTAAAAGAGGTAAAATATACTCGCTGTCTCAATTATAGAGGTAATTACCACGAATAAAATCGAAAGAACTAATCCCAGATATAGAGGTTTGTTTTGTCCCACTACTCGTAACAGTGGTAATTCAGTGCGAAAGTGTAGGGACCTAAGCATGAGTTCCAGCTATTGAGGTTTCTCACTAATCCAGGTCCCACTTAACCAAGTTTTACTGTATTATTAAAATCGTTTTAAATAGAAATATCTGTGAATTAAACACTTATTTGAATTAAAAGGATTGAGAGCAATGATGTTCATTTAATCACAGCGGTTTTTGTATGAATTTCGTAGAAATCTAACTATTCAATTTAGTATTTTTTGATGCAACTTTTTAAAAAATTTGTTATATCCCGACTAGTCTCGTCAAGCTGATTCTGAAAATACTATTAGTTCAAGTTTATATATGTATGTATTTTATGCATATGATTTTGACGAAATACTATAAAAAGCTTTCTATTCAATTAAATTTTTCTATTGCCTTTGTTTTTACAACTTTACTAGTTTTCAGCGGCTTACTATGAAATATACTTCCATGTCAGCTATCGAAAGGCTCTTTTTTTTTAAATTATTATCTTTGATTGTCATCAATTTTGTTTTTGAGTTCAAAAACTCCTTTAAGTTTACAAAGAAGCAACAAATTAAAAAGCACATTTCCTGCTTACGAAATTAAAGACTTGAAAATATTTCATAGTATCACTTACGTTGCAGATTTTGCAAAATATGAACTTTTCATCTCTCTTAACTCTTCTTGAACTCTTCCTTTATTTTAAATGGAAATAAGTCAACCTGATTAAGTTGATTGAACGCTATCAGAGATTGCTGGAAGTTAAAAGTTTGTTGAGAACTATCTAACTATCTTGAAAGTGGAACAACTAAAACTAACACGGAAGAAACTATCATGGAAGAAAGTAACGCTCAGCAAGATAACGTATGTATAATAACATGAATAATTTATAATAACAATGATATAGTAAGAATGTAGTAATTTCAAATAAATATTTATATTACAAATGTGTGGAGAATATGTGAAGCGTTAGATAATATCTATTAATTTAAAATGTTGTACAGCCGACTTCAATATAAGTTATTAAGAATAACTCAATAACTATTGGTTTTTTTTTATAGAATAAGGTTGACAAACGAGCACACAGTCCACCTGATGGTAAGTGGTTGCTGCGACCCATAGACATCTACATCTATCCTCTGTTACAAATCAAAATGCAGATGCGTTGTCACCCGTGAGGACTAAGATGGAATGCCTCATTTCCAGTAAAAAGGTCCTCCGGCCACCTGCACTCACCAAGCGAAACGCAGAGGTAAACCTCTACTTCACGCTGGTTTTCTGTGAGGTCGTGGTACCACCCCGGTTCGAGCCGGCCCATCCGTGCGACAGCAAAAGCTGCCGCGTGGCTCTACCACTGTTAAATGGTCTGACCTCGATCAAATTCATATGGGACCCCACGAGAAGTTCCAAATCGGTTCACCCAGTGAAAAGTTATAAAATAACACACAAAAAAACATACAGTCGAATTGAGTACCGTCTCCTTTTTGGAAGTCGGAAAAAAATTAATGAATATCTTACAAAATAATAACTATTAGATAAATTTTAAAATTGTTTGATGTGTTTATCATTTTTTACTAAAACTAAATGTGAAAAAAATGGAACTAACTTCAATAGGGAACTAAAACTTGTTAAACTAAAAACTAAACAAGTTTTACCGTCTTAGATCTTAGTAGCCGTTAAAAAATTGGTGAGAATTGTGATAGGCTTTTCAGTCATATTTTTGGTATTTGGGAGCATAATTATAACTAAATCAAGTTGCTAATTAAAAATTGCATCATCAGTCACAAAATTTTGAAGTTTCCTCACAACTAATATAAATTAATTGTACTGTAGTAGTATATGACTAATACAAGAAATTAAAATTTTACAACTAGATAACATGTAAAATGTTGAGCTAAAAAAGAGAACGCTAATGGGTTGTTACTCATCATTCAAAGAGATTGATAAAATGTAACAAAATAAATATAAATATTTTATCATTTTATTTATGTAAAATCGATTGCTTTTCTTCATGAATTCTCTGTTTTCAATGTTGCTTACAGATACCCAGGCAACCTTCTTGTTCTTTCAGTCAAGGTGTGAATGAGCCTCTGAAGAAAAAAAGTAAGCTTTCAAAGAAAAAGCACAAACTTGGCAAAAGTTCAAACGTGCGTAATTAGAAATTAATCAAACCAAGTTAATCTGTCTTTCAAATAATAATAAAAAATAGAATACTTTTCCATATAAATCGAAAATAAATGAGTATATTCTGAGGTTATTTTCTAAAATTTTCTTTAATATAATATACTTTACTGTTTTACAAAAGACAATAAAATCTCCAAGAGATAAATCTGAAAATGACGTCTTGAAAGAAATAAGTTAACAATTAGATGACATGATAAAAAGGTCAAGAGGCTTTCCAGCAAGCGGTCACCGCAGCTTTGCAGACAATTTTGTCAAATTCGCAGCAAATTCAAAGTAAAGTTATTACATATTTTATATCACTCATATTCAATTCAAAGTCATTATAACAATATTAATAATACAAAACGCTCGTACAAAGTCGGTTAAGAAACTCTACAATTTAAAAAAGTAATAAAACTTGAATAATATACTTGTTCACCTCACTTAAAATATTTTAATTTTTATAGAAAATTACAGAATGATAGGTGTTTATAAATTATCATAGATTCTATTTTCTTTATTTTTTAAGATTTTCTCCACAGTTCTCACATCGAAATATTTCGTAACATTTGCTCACATATGTATTGCTATGTTATGTAATTTATCTCATTAATACATCTTGGTACCATCATTATATTCATAAATATCACTTGTTAACTAATGTAACTCTTTCGCTGTCCCGTGCACTACATATAGGTCATTGCTATTGTCTTACTGTATGGTCTGAAAACCGGACAGTCCAAGTGATAAATTATAGGATTTAAAAAGAAAAATTAATATTTCATACAAATCTAATCAATTTATATTTAGCGATCGATATTAATGTATACTTTATGAACTAAGCTAGATTATTAAAAATGTACCTTAAATTAATTTATTCATATCTTTGATTATTTATAGGTACACGAGCAACAATACCGACAGCAGTCCAAGCATAGAGTCCAAGCAATAGATTTCGAAAACATACAAGTACCTCCATCAGTTGGTTTTATACGGTCAGACTCCGGAATAATAAATGTATATTAAGAAGTTCAAATCCAATTCACAATTTACTATCGGTAACAAATTTAAGAATAGTAATTTTTAAGTTTCATTTTTATTTTTCAATTCATCAAATTTTTAATTTTTAGGGCGAATTAATTGATTCATGACAGATAAACGCTCTATCAAACATCTGATTGAACAATAAAGAAAAAAGCTCGGACCGCTCGAGTGCTGCTTACAATTAACCGGTGTCTTTCCTCATAAAATTGTCAAAATATTTGTAACTTCTTATACTGCTTGATCATTTCCAGTTTATACAATTTTTAAAAATTATAATATTGTCTAATTGTAGAATATTTGTAGATTCAATTCAAAAAGAATTCAATTGTGGTCAAAATGTCTGGTCAAAAATCCCATCTTTGTAAAAAATATAGCAGTAGATATATTTACTCGAGACGTGGTGAAGAATAGTAGTATAACAGCAGCAATAGAACCAAAGGACATGCAAAGCCAAAACTTGATCCGGGCAAAATGCTTTTCGTAAAAGGTAAGTTAATTATATTTTCAATTAAGAAGTGAATTTTCTGCAAGCTAATCAAATGTTTTTACAGATATTTATACATTATCTGAAAGAGCTTAGGCAATTGTCGGAAAAACAAATTAATGCGAAAATTGACGATTATCTGGAATATATTTCGGGGAAAAACAGATTTAGAATGAGTGAAAAAAATACCACCCAGAGTAAGAATTATTTAAATTTTACTTTTTTATTTATTTTTGTAAAAAAACGTTACCCCCACACTAGGATTTTCTCATGTATCGTGGAGGCAGTTTACAAACACAAATTGCATAAAGCCAAACATCCAGTCCCGGAACAATTATTTGTAGGCCATACAAATACTTGTTCCATGCGGGATTCATTGCTCATTGCTAAGCCACTGCGCCACGAAGCCGTCCAAATTCATTTATGTTATTAGTATTTATTAGATGCATTCGACAATTAAATGAAAATTCATATATAATTTTTAAACCTAGTTTTTTAGATGAAAATTAGATCTAAAACACAACACTTTACTGCCTCAAATTTAATTTTCACTATATAAATATTTGTATGTTATAGAAACTGAGGAAAAGGCTGATAAAATAGTAAAAAAGGCTAATGGAACAATGAAAAAGGGAGTAGCAGTAGCAGTTCTGGTGAAGAAAGTACCAATTCTGAAAGCGAAACTAGTAACGATAAATGCGGCAATTACATAACTTTTTTGTCTATCCTTAATTTTTGAAATAATAAATGCAGTCAAGTAATATAACAGAGTACCTACATATAATTATTGCTAATAAATGTTATTGCTAATTATGTTTTAATGACTGTTAACTAAAGATATTATCAAAAATATTTTTTATAGATTCATTAGTTTTATTATTTTAGTTTAAGTCGGAACTGCCTATACTTTATTTTGCATTTCTTTCCATTTTTCTGATCATAATCCCATGGAAAACTACAAAAAAAATGTGTATACTGATACAACCTCAGTCACTCTATCGGTAAATTTAAGTATCGCAATTCTGTAAGCTTCCGGAATTGCTGTTTCAAAAACACGATAGTTTATCATAACTTCCAATTAAACATCGTATTTTATGTGGATCTATCAGGTTTTTTCCCACAGGGTTTTTGGATATATAACCTATCAATTTAAACAAGTGTTTACAAATATCGTGCTCTATTTAAAAATGTACAAAATTTGAAAGTTGATATCTATGCAGCATTGTTAGAAAAGTGAACAAAAAACTGGCACGCTAAAAAGATATTGTCGTTTGTTGTAGGCATCTTGTATAGGTAATTATGATATTGTAATAAAATTTTGTTTGATCTGTTGATTTATTATTCATTAATTATGTAACTAATAACTGTTCATACAATCCCACAAACAAAGCATATCTGTAAAGAAAATATTTTAAATAAAACTAGTTTTTTGTTTTAATCCATTATTATTAAACATTAAAATCAAAATATTTCATGGTTTATGGTACGTGCACATACAGAGAAAAAAGAAGAAAAAGACAATGTTTGAAAGTTAACTACTTATAGAGCTACCATAGAAATCGATGTCATTTGGGAAATAATACTCCCGGAGCAAGGTTCCCGTAGTATGACTGGGCGGCAGCGGCAGCACTTTCAGCCACAATGCCACTGCTGCTGAAACCCAGCAATGGTGCTATCAATGGAACTGCTAAACCAGCAGTTCCATAAATCACTGCCGCGCCGACAATGTTAACAGCCAGAGCAGTCCAGAAACCCATTTTAGTCTGAAACAAGTGTTTTTTCTTTGATAATGCACCCCCCCCCTACCCCAGCCTACGAATTTGGAGTACATATAAAATAAAATTAAAATTACAGACGTATTTTAAATAGCACATCAAAAAAATATTAATTATTTAAATTTCACCCATGTAGTTTATAAATAAAAAATAGGTAAATATTGCTCAACTTATAATATCGATATAACTTCAAATAATTAGAAATGTGTACTTGTTGCATTATGAAAAAGCTGCACCTTGCTTGAATATAATTGACTGCCTCGTTGGTCTAGTGGTTGTAGTAGTGCGACTGCTGATCATGAAATCCCGGGTTTGAATCCAGAGTCGGGACAAAAAAAATCAGTTATTGAGTTTTTCCATCAAGAAATTCTCAGTAGCTGCCCGGAGTCAGGATGTTGGCGGTGTCTCATCCCTGTGCCTCGAAAAGCACGTAAAGTCGTTGGTCTCTTTCCGGTCGTGTCGGTTTACCGTCCCATCGGACTATGAGTGAGGGAATAAAGAGTACATCTGTGCGTGACCGTTGAAATTGGCCGCCGTGACCAAAATTCGGTCTGGAGGACATTATTATTATTATAATTGCGCCATCGTTAATACTAATGCATAAATAGCAGTATTGCGCAAAAGATAATAAAACCAAATATGTTAATTGTCGACAAAGAGTGTATAGGTAATCACTAAATTTAATAGGCGGGACTTCCTTAATAAAAGTAAATGTATGAAAAAGCATTAAGCTACTTTTCCAACATCAAGACATTTAATTTCACCACCTACCCGAGCCTACGAATTTGGAGTATATATAAAAAAAAATCTGACAGACTTATTATAAAAAGAAACGTCTCAAAAATATTAGTTATTTAAACTGCACCTATACGTATACTTTATAAAAAAAAATGTGTGCAGGTCACACGTGGTAGAAGTGAAACCTTCGGAAAACTAAACTTCGAGAGAATGCGATGAATGCAGAATATCAGTAGTAGGATAATTCCAAGGTTTATTTATTACAATATTGTTACCAAGATTAAAAATATCTTAAATTTTATTTTACTTATTATATTACATTAAAAAATTAAACAGACTCCAAGTTTTCAACAATAGACACAAGTAGCTTATGGTAACTAAAGTATGAATATTATTTTTATATGATAATTTTCAACCAGAAGTGCGGCATGAAATATATGATAATAGTTTAATTTTATAGCAAACGAATGAATCTTTACTTTTATACATGTAGAGCCAAAATTTTTGTATAATAAATCATTAGATTATTTTCTTTCATGTAAAATTACATTGTCGTAGCACCAATTAAAATGTATGTTAAAAATCTTGAAAGCACCGCACAAAGACGAGACCGAGATAATAGGAAACATACCATTTTTTTTAAATACTAGTAATGCTATTGACATCACTTATATTCCCTTTAACCATTGTAAACTAAAAATGCTTGTGTAAGGAGCGGTTCATGACAGTTTTCAAATGGCGGATTACAACCCACAACCTTTTGAGTTCTTGGTCCGCACCGAACCCGTCCAGGGAGAAGTTATTTATCACCTAAACTCACGCAAACTCACTAAGGCCATTAATAATTTTGCAGTCCCAATATAATAATTGGTCATAATAATTATACAGATTTAACAAACTTACGTCTTGTAAACACAATGTCATCATCAGGCGACCTTTCGACACTTGGCTATGGCCCTTGAGTCTGGGGGAAAATAAGGAGAGAAGAAATAAAAAACATTTGAAATAATAATCTAATACTTTTATACTTACTGGTATTGGTACTACCAGAAAATATTGTGGGAATACTGCACTTTTTCAAAGTGGTGCGTTTCTCATGTTCAATAAAACAGCCGTCTGTGAAGTGTTTAGAACAAAGATAATAATTTTGTTTCGGACGGCAATTCACAATTTTTGTGCTTTTTGAGCCTGAGCCATGATTTTAGTCTAGGTTCTAGTTCTAGGTAGGTTGGTTGTGAACAGACATGGGTAGAAAAGAATATCGATAAGTATTAAAGACAAGGAACTTGACAACCCTATTGAATTTTATTGTTTATCAAAACTCAGTAATATAAAGCCAAACATGTTTGTAATTACGATATTAAGGTTAGTAACAAAGTTTTAAGTACCTTAATTATCAAATAGTTTTAATTTGCTTAATATTAGCTGCAAATTCACTTACTTGTGGAATGCTATCCCACTTTCCTGTTGGTAACGAGTTTTACATATTACGCACACTCTCATTATTACTAAAAATAATTCTTATTATGTAACTAAAATCAAACATAACTAAACCACATAAAATACTTTCATTTTTTAGTTAAACTAAAGTTCAAAATACAGAGATATGATTTAAACATTGATATAAGAAAAATAGAGGATAAGCAGTAAATTGCATATATATTTTTTGGTTATACAAATATCATGCAAACATGAACCTTGCCAACAAAAATATGTCTGTCCCATTCTCACACGTTATGATTTTCAAATGTAAAAAAAGACAAGTACATATCTTAGACTTCAATTTTCTGTTGACAGTTTTCATAATTTCACCAAGCTCCACCTTGAAGCATTACGCCATTTTAGGATGACGTTCATTTGTGGTAGTTCGTCTGTCATCTAAGCCTTGTTCGGAGTTATTTTGCAGTGTTACAGTGAATTTTGACTATTTTGGAGCTTTTTTGTTCATTAGTAAAGGGTAATTGAGCAAAAACAACATGACAAAGTGTTGCATCAATGGATGTAATTCAAATTCTCGTAAAAATGATGAAGGATTGTCATTTTTCAGGTTAGTTGTAATTTTTTTCCATAACTGTATATTTTTTCGTGTGAATTGCGTTTCGTGTTCATGTTATGGGTTCTAAATCGTGTTTCCCGCTATTATCTACAATTTCCAATGACTATTATCATGTAAATTTAAACAAGTAAACATTTTGATTGTTTACATTTTTACATAGTGTTGCCCTTACGTGCAGTCATGTTTTGAAATTATCGATATAAATTTTAAGAATAATATTAATGTAGTCCTATGATCAAATAACGTTTTATTTACGTAAACTGTATATTTAATCAAACGATCGATTGAGAGCCTTTCATTTAAGAAAAGAACTTGAAAATAGTGTAAATCTTAAAATTTCTATCTTAATAGTTTTTTTCTTAAAAAATTTTGATGATGTTAAGATTATATTTGATTAGTACTTAAGGATGCATAATATTTATTTTAGGTTGGCAAAAAATGAAGGCCTTCAAAAATTGTGGATTGATAATATAGGCCAGGAAAACATAAAACCGGCAGTAGTAAGAAGAATATGCTCCTTGCATTTTAAAAAATAATGTACAAGTAGAATGCTGGATGTAGTTCGGCTTAAGGGTGATTTGGTTCATATGTCTAAAATAAATTTTCTGACTAAATAATATTATTTCGTCACGAATAAATGATTTTAATCAGCATACATTACTGTTATTTTATTTATTTTTAATCCTTACTCTCGTGTACCTCCAGTATCCACCACTAATTACGCTACTGGTGGAATTCATTACAACTTGCAGGTTGTAAACACTATAAAATTGATATTTTGTGGTGTTACACAAATGGGATATAATGAGAAATGAGTATGGAAGTGGAAGTTTTAAGTGGCGCAGCCACCCCTATTGATCGAAATGTTTTCAGCAGTGGTAGAGCCACGTGGAAGCTTTTGCTGCCGCACGGATGGGCCGGCTCGAACCGGGGTGGTACCACGACCTCACAGAAAACCAGCGTGAAGTAGAGGTTTACCTCTGCGTTTCGCTTGGTGAGTGTAGGTGGCCGGAGGCCCTTTTTACTGGAAATGAGGCGTTCCATCTTAGTCCTCACGGGTGACAACGCATCTACATTTTGAGTTGTAATAGAGGATAGATGTAGATGTCTATGGGCCGCAGTAACCACTTACCATCAGGTGGACTGTGTGCTCGTTTGACACCCTTATTCTATAAAAAAAAATGTTGCATGGAAATTGGTTGTCATATGGTATAAACATGGCATGCTGAAGATTGAGGAATACGTTAGGATACTTAAATGATTATGGATTGTGTGAACGGTGGTATGGTTAGAAAGGAGCTGCTCAACTCGATTAGATTACTGAGATAAATAAATAAATAATCTTTATTACCAAAAAAAAGAGAGATGAGGGCTAGTAACTATGTATGAAAGAACACATGCTCCACAAACTTTAAATAAATCAAGATAAAGGTCAGTCTATTGCACGGTCATAGTGACTTGGTCTGGTAACCGACCATTACCACGAAAGAAAGGTGTTGTCGAATCTTTATGGCAGCTTGGAAATTAAGAGCGAGCGCTAGTCCGTGCAGATATAGTTGAAAGAAAACTTGATGGTGTCTCAGATCACAGTACGTAAAGCGAAGCGTGAAGGTACAGGACTTGCGCTCGCAACTAACTTCCCAACCGCTATAAAGTCTATATATATATGATATAATTCACGTAACCTGGACGCATACCGTTGGGGCTGGTTCGATGTGGTGCAGGACAAAACCACTGGGAAAAACTTAGGAGAGACTTCTGCCTAGTAGTGGGACAGCATGGGCTGAACAAAAAATCATACGAAGCGTAATACATTGCCTATAGTGGTGGTTTCGTTAATCTCTGCAGAGGAGAGAAAAAAATGCATGCGTCGACCCAGGGACGCACGGATGGAGTGCTTATGCGCAGATTACCGTCGTTGCGAAAAAACGTTAGCTCTTTACACGAAGTCAGTATAATATTCTGGTGCACGTCGTATACGTGTTCTGAAAAGAAAGGAGTTAAAGCTCCAATCAAGTGCTCTTTGCTTGGTCTCTTCGCTCACTTTTGACTGTTGCTTCACCATATCTTAAAGCAAACTTTTCTGTTCTGAGTTGAACGTAAGATTTATTTATTTATCATCTCAATACAACTATTATTACAGGATTAATCCAATGCAATAGTGTAGTGATCTAATATTTGTTTATTTAATATATACCTATGAGATGGACAATACGTCATAATTTATATAGCATCGATACTGAAAATATCGACAAAAACAACGCTATTTCTTGTGGGTGGAGTCGTCGCCATAATTGAGAAACACTTCAGATCACGTGACCACATGCCATATCCCCTATTTTTCTTATATCTATGGATTTAAATAATACAACAGACTTTGGCATATTGTGTCAATTTTAGTTCCCCGTACGAACGCTGGACTGGCTATGCCATACAAAATGTTTATGCCGAAATGAGGGCGCTTCAAATCGGCATAAACATTTTGTATGGCATAGCCAGTCCAGCGTACTTGTATTTAGAGAGGTCAGTGAACATAAAAAATTACATTCTTTGTAAAGAGAAAATACATTGACAAGTAATAATATATTAGCATGACAGGTATCTTCGTTTATAAAATTATATATTATAAAAAAAAGGATGACGTTTCAAAAATGACCATGTTTGGGCCTAAACAGTTACCATTTTTCAGTAAGAGTTTTCAAAAATACTTGTTGTTTTATATGTTCAGCTGTTTCAATACTGCGATTATTCGGCACTAAAAGATTGATTGTAGAAGTAATTCGTTCAGATGCTACGGTTGCAGCTGAAGAAATCAAATATTTAACAGCAATTTTTGATAGCACGGAAGTAAATCATAAGACGCCTAAACGATTAAAATAACTTGAGGCTTGTACCAACATCGAAGCACTTATTTCGTCGTTTTCTCTAATAGCTCACATGCGCAGACACTTAATACACATAATCGCATTACTTTGATAAAAATCCACTTTAAACGATTATTTAAACGATAAAACAGGAGCAACCGTCCGTCAATGGTCAAGCTCCTGCCAAAAGTCACAGTAAGTAAAGTAGTACTAAGTTTAATAGATTATAGTGATTTTAATATCACAGAGATATACTATACAAAATTACATTTCTTTTTAAGATAATAAGCAAATAAATAAACTTGGGAAAAATGAAAAACATAATAGAGTGTAAATAAAGTATAGTAGATTGGGTCCATCAAGGATTAGGATTTAGGTTATCGATGGTGTTGTAGATTAAATGATTTACGTGAAAAAATAAAATATTAAATTATTTAAAAAAATATATCGACTGTCGTATATGTATATTTCCATATCAAACTTATGTTTCAATATATATGTCGTCCAAAAATACTAGAAATAAATATCGATATTGCTAAATAATAAAATAGATTTTTCGATATATCGATATTTTATCAACAGTCCTAGTTCAAACGGAACGGATTTCATTTCTCGATCGACGGAGGCGTTTGGTTTGCGTGACTCCTATAAAATATCATATATGTAGATAAATTAAATTATATTTAAGGCCTTAAAAGTGGTTGAAATGCCTAAATCTTGGATATTTAGGTAAAAAAATCTCAATAACTGTTCATTTAATCCACAAAGAAAAAATACAAGGTAACAGAAGAGGATTTGGTAACAAAATTGTATTTTTGTCAACCCCTTATTAGAAAAAAAATCCCCAAAGAGTACCTATCTTGTCATATTTTGCAAAATTTCTCCAAAACGGCACAAGCTTTTTAAATAGTTCTTACACGAAGAAAAAGGTCTTAAAAATATTAATATTTTTAATTGAGAGTTTTATTTTTATTCCGTCGCCCTGTCACAGCTCACTGTCCGTTATCGGACATCGTCGAGGGTGGACCATGCGCCGGTGTTGGAGCGACTTCGTTCAAATATATATTAGTTTTTTAAAAGTTTATATTCAATTATAAATATTTTTATGACTAGAAATAATTAATTTAGTTAATATCTGTACACTGGTAACTGTAAATATTATTTTTTAAATAAATTAATTTTTAAAGTGCCCAAAGAAGAAGAAATTTTCGCGGCGACATTGATTAGTGAAATTGAAAAATGCATTTTTATATAATTTAGATGTGGAATCGACGAACATGCTCTCGTTTTTAATACTTATGTAATTTTATTGTTGCATATTTTTATTAATTAGTTGATACTGAATTTTATAATTATGTATTACAATAAAACGCTGTTTTATGAGTATGACTTTATAAAATATTATTGGGGAGGGAAATATAGATACAGATACTTACATTTAGGTACACTGTTATCAAATTAAATCAAACAATTTAAATAAATTAAAAAAATGGTGCTTCCCTAAGTATAAATAACTATATAAAGACATTCTTGGGTTTATGTTTTTTTATGTTAGAGCAAACTATCATCTAAAAAATGTAAAAATTTTAAATTGGAGAGGGGTTCTCTACGTGATAAAGTTAGAAATTACAAGATATTCGCAGTAGAACCAGAGTAACTGACATAGCCCAACGGTATATTACAGTGAAATGGCAATGGGCTGGCTA